CTCAGATAACATGTCTTCTCTTGTCCTCTGCTATAGATGTAGTGTACGTGTCATGTAATGGGTCGTAGATGTATAGTAAAGTATGTAGGATTAACGTCTCCGTCGAAACATTCGATTCCGTGATAATTTCATGTAAGCCAGTTGTTTTCTCGTCTTACTCTCTCCGGTAAATCGCCAAATGGATAAGGCGGCCTCATAATCTAGTGTCCGGTGATCGTTGTATTAATCGCAAGAACCGCGATTTCTTTCGGAATAAAGTTGTTTTCGACATCGTGAAAACCTTATATGTCGATGACTATATCCATTACAATATTCGAATTTTCGCTACTCTTTTTACGTCACGAAACGTCAGCGTCGGTGTCATGAACAAGACTGGAGCTGTTTTCGTCATTTTGCGTACAAGTAGATGAGAAAAAATGTATAGTGGGGGAAAATAATTTTCTCGAGGAAGTCATAGGGCTAACCGGAAAAGTCGACAATGACTTGACGCGAGGAGTCGATTTCTAAAACGTTATCGAACTCGGCACAGACGATACAATTAATAGTCACGGAAAGAGCTTTTTCAAATCTCACTTCTAATCATAAGTTTCCATGTTTCACGAAATTCCAATGTCCCGCGCGCAATTAGCGGATAGATCCGAAGTAAGATCGAAAGCGAAAAGAGTGTGGTCGTTGGCGTAATTGTCTCTACTTATAGAATTATCCTCGTTCAGAAAGTGAAAGTTGGTTCCCGAGAATAATGTGTGATAAGCTTTAACGTAGAACGACTCGACTTTCGAAAAATTTGGCTGTAACGGCCTACTGGGAATTTGCAGGCCATCGACGTACAGCAAAAAGAAATTTATTCTGTAATTTTTGAAATTAAACGGGTTTAATTTCCTTCACCGTTAAATGCCTTGTTACCGACAAAGCCAACTATTATTCGTTTCGACAGTTGTCCGAGTATTGCATTATCGATTCCCCCACGACGCCGGCGTGTATCGTAAATGTTTAAACTTCGACTCTCGTAAGGGGACACTTGGCGGCAGTGATGCACATTAGGCTCCCCGGCAACACGGAAACCAGCCCCACCACTTGTACCCAAACCTAGCAGACACCTACCGGCATGGCATCGAGTCGGCCGTCTTCGCCGCTGCGCGAGAGCGAGCGAGACAGCGAGAGACAGCGCGCGTCCTTCTCGCTGCGAGTATTAGAGTGAAAGGACGGCCGCTCTCTCTCGCTGTCTCGCTTCCTCTAGTATCGTAGTCGCTCGTTATAAGAGCGACCGAAAACCGAAAATGTATTTTCTCGGCCACTAGGCGTATTCCTGTACAGGGTATCCCGACCTTTTTTGCCAATCACTTTTGTGTTGATAGAACGGATTAAACAGAGTTCAAAAGTCCTCTACCATTTTGCAATTTTCGCAATAGTTAACAAGATATTAATTACGAAAAATTGCAAAATATTGGTTTTGAATAATTTTTTACTCAAATACTATCAACTTTATAGAAAAACTGCAAGAGACAAAAATTATTTATTTTCTTGTCATAAAGTTCTGAGAATTTTTTTCAAATTTTTTTTTTTTTTAGAATTTTTTAATACCGTATTTTATCATATTGGTAAAAATAAGAAAATGCAGGAAACCCACTCTTGGCCAGGAACGTAGACAGGAGTCAAGTGTTAGAACTATTTCACACATTTTCACTCATTTAAATATGTTACAAATCAAAATCGCTTAAGAAAACATAACTGCACATGCAACCTTAATAAATAACAGGTGTGTTACATTCTTTTATAAACATTCTTGAGTAATAAATCAATATTCATGTCCATATTACTGCTCGACGCAATCCGCGGATAGATGGTGGTTTCTTCCATCGGGAGGAAATATAAAAAATTGTCTAATAAGTCACGTATGAATCATAACTATTTGATAATTTTTTACATTTCCAAAGGAATGAAGGAAAGGAAAAAAATAAAGTATGTGTTTAAGTAGAGCAACTTAGAAGCTTTAAAGCGTTAAACAAAACTTGCACAATTAATTAAAATGTTACGCACAACAAATTCAAAGTAATATTGATCACGAACAAGCGAACGAAATGTTAGTATGGCATATTATACATTTTTAATTCAAAACGCTAATTAATAAAATTTATATGGAATAGGAACTACAGTATTTAACTACTGAATTTACAGTTACAAAAACGTATGCATTTTGCAAAGTCTTTATAAAAAGATTTTTCACACAAAGGAAAGCAAGATAATACGCGTAGGTCTTTCTTTCTCTACTCAAAATCATTACTCGTACGTACAGAATGTTTGAACAAGAAAACCATAAACTATGTATATAGAATCTCAGAACGTGACATTCCTTTACAGACAAACTTCGGTAAATATGTATTAGGATATTTTAAATGATTAGTCTAGACGACGTTGTTTCGCGTCATTCACTCTCAGTTCAGTCGAATGCAACCTCATTAGTCTTGCCAGACCACTCGAGCGGATCGGACGCGTTCCCTCTCGTCTCGGGTGTTGCATCACCTCGACAATATTTTTGGAAAGCCTTGCCAGCTTTGACTGAGCCGTTATATCTCACTTTTACGGTCCCCTTATCCGTCTTGGCGCGCGGCCGTGAGGCGTGGAAACGTCGTAGCCGCAGGCGTGCCGCAGGCGTCCAGTGTTTGAGGGGGCATTTCACCATTTTTATTTCGATTACATCATTTTTCGTATTATTCGCCCGGTTCGAGGTGGCCGGTCTTTTTAAAAGAAAAACATACAGACGTGATCTGGCCGTATCGACCTCCTTTTATTATCTGGAGGCGGGAGCCATTAAGTAAAGAAGAAGAAGAATGCAACCTCACGCGATACAACATTCACGTTTCGACACAGAATGTGTTCAACCCGAAAATTTCTCCAATAAATATGTGGCTTCTCAGTAAAAATACGTAAGTTCTACAATTAATATTTTTCATTAATACAAATTACATTATCCTCTAACTTAATGCCACGTCTCATAATGTAGCAAAAATGTCACTACTTGTTTGATTGACATATTAGTCATATTTAGTTTAAATTGGAATAAAGGTTGATACGTCTTATACCGACATTGTAAGTAGCGAAGTATGCAAAAGGCAGGGGATTTGAATCTGTGTCTCTTGAGATGTTGGGATTCGTAATAGTGATCAGCAGCTCGAGGAAAGATGAAATAATGGAGATCACCGATGTGTAAAAGTCGGATTTGTCGACTTTTTAGTACTGCATTTTCTTATTTTTATCAACATGAGAAAATACGGTATTAAAAAATTCTATAAAAATTCTGAAAAAATTCTCAGAACTTTATGAGAAGAAAATAAGCGATTTTGATTTGTAACATATTTAAATGAGTGAAAATGTGTGAAATAGTTCTAACACTTGATTCCTGTCCACGTTTCTGGCCAAGAGTGGGTTCCTTATTTCCCAAACTTTCAATTTTACAGCTCTTTTTCGTTTATTTTTCTGCGTTAGTTCTTAAACTACAATTTGTATAAATTTTTAGAAAGGCTAGAATCAAGAAGAAGGGCATAAGTACCTATGGCAGAAGAAAATTTGAAACTTATTTAAAAAGCACAGTAAGAGACTCATTTTGTGTGCGTGGTCCGGGATTAATTTGTAATATATTATAAAAATATACGCGTTCTCGAATAATTGCCAAATAAAAATTGAAACATTATATCCCTGAACATATGTATCAAAAAATTGAAAAAATGTAATAAAGACATTACAGAAGAAAAAGAACAGTTCATAAAGTTTATTTTAAGACTAAAAAGAATTATAATGTTTTTCAAACGTGAAGTTACGAGTATACGCACAGAATTTGTTTGGTAGAACATTTGTATTTATATCTGTAATATATATTGTTTTAAAATTTAAAAAATTGGTAATTTGCAGTAAAAAGAAAATAGAATATCGCAATTAGTATTAAATAACACATTCTAAATGATATTCTTGGAGTATTGTTATAGACGGAATTTTTTTGGTAGAACTTA